TAGTATCCAGACAAATTCGTATCTCCCTATAATCAAGGCCAACATCCCTCAACGAGCATGTTTTCCATTTGACCAACAAAAATTCGAATCTCACTGAAACCATGCTCATTGAGGGATACTGGCCTTGATTACAGGGAGATATGAATTTGTTTGGTTACTAAAGATAATAAACAATGTTTGTTAGGTTGTCAAAGATTGATCAAATAACTACCGCGATCGCTCAAGGAGTGGGGGTCGTACGAGAGAGATTTTTCACCCACGAGCACCTATACCGCCAAAACCAAAATTTGAAAGTTATTTGGTTTTCCCGCTACCCACTATGCTTATAAAAATGCCCCGCACCACCATCTATGTCTCTATCTTAGGCTCAGCCATCTTCTCCACGGCCATGGTAACCTCATATAAATTGACGACATCTAAGAGGGTGATGGCATTGCCGCCGGTTCCTGTCATCCCTTGACCTATCATCCCTCCGATGAACAGGCAAGATAGATGAATCAGCCTATACGACAGTTGGCCATCACCGCTTAATTATTTACCTCATCCATTCATTCTATTCTATGCACAGGAACTTGACTTTTTAGAGCGTCCAGATGGAGCATATCTATCAGAATTGTTGGACCATTCATACTAGGGTCTTGTGGAAGGCCAATGGAGAACATTTACCTTAGTGTATACTACTGGATCAGGATGTAAGACATTACTCATTACTACTTACTACTTACAACACGTTTTTTAATATACACATTTGATGAACAGTTTTGTTCTCGGATTATTGTTATGATTTATAAAAAATATTAGGGAACAAAAATGGAAGCGATCGCATACAACAACCAAGCGTTTTGCTTCAACACCATGCTACAAACCGGCATAACACATGACTTCACTCGCGTCGGGTTCAACCCCACGGAAATACCATATGGACATTTCTGGTATCTAGCCATGGAGTTTGTCATCACACTAAATGCTAGAACCGAGGTTAGGATGTCGGTGCACAGGATAACATCGACAATTTGTCCATCGTGCTTCCCACAATTTGGGGCCATATTCTCGCTACGGGACAAAAGCATCACTGGTGCATCATCTTTAACTTTGTTCTTCCATATTACTCCATACAACCTAGTGTCTCATTCTGATTAAATTTTTGCAGATGTTGTTGCTATTCTTGCCTATGTTGGTAAGATACAACATCAGTGGGATTCAATATATAGACGCCACATCCTTTTCCTTGAGATTGGCCTCATGAACTTTCGGTAAGTTTGAGGAGATGGCTAAGTTTTAAAAAAGTTAAAATAACAAGAAAGTTGATTCGTGATTGCAAAACTATGTGGAACTCCACTTTCATGATGCTAGAAGCAGCTTTACCATACAAAGTTGATTTTGAACGTGCAAATCATGTTGAGAAACAATATGAGCATTTACCTAGTGCCAAAGAATGGGAGTTTGCTGCAGAGATGTTGGAGAGACTTGGATTATTCGATGAGATAACTAAGTTGTTCTCTGGAAGTGATTATGTGACTTCTAATGTTTACTTCCCTAAAATCTATGAGATTAAAATGAAAACGAGACAGTGGGCCACTTCTAGCAATTCAGTTATAAAAAAACTCTCTGAGGAAATGAATACTAAATTTGACAAGTATTGGAAGGACATTCAAGATCTGATGGGGATGGCTACACTTCTTGATCCTCGTTACAAGAGGCATATGTTGATAGCTTGCTTTGCCATGCTCCATGGAATTGAGCCATCTTCTTATGACAATGTGTGGATTCGGTTGATGCATTAGTTGCTAGACTGCATTCATTCATAAAGGAGTGAAGTGGAAGTAGATGAATATAAACCATGTGAAGAACTGATTTCTTCAATGAAAGCTCCAGCCATCATGAACATCTTCAATGACATCAAGGTGAAATAGATATGTAGTCCCTCTGTAAATTAATATAAGAGCGTTTAGATCACTACTTTAGTGATCTAAACGCTCTTATATTAGTTTACGGAGGGAGTACTTGACAGATGGCCTAGTGCCATACACAGAAGTATTTAGTGTGTTGGATTAGTGGAACGTAGCTAGAACAAGATATCCAACATTAAGGAAGGTCGCCAGAGATATTTTTGCTATTCCCGTGACAACAGTTGCTTCAGAGTCGGCCTTTAGTACAAGTGGCAGAATACTTAGTGAGCATAGGAGCCGCCTAACTCCTAATATGGTGGAAGTTTTGATGTGCTCCCAAGATTGGCTTAGAAACAAACAAAAAGGTGAGCAAATAATGTACTTTTTTCAAATTTAGAATTTATTTATCTATTGCTAATCACTATCTCGTCGTGTGTATAATTTTTTTTGTTCTAGATGCTCGTAAAGGAGATGCAATTTTGAACTTACCTTCAAGACATTCAAGAGGGGATGCCGGTTGGTACTCACCAACACATTTCCTTTGCCAATTGAGTATTTGACTGTACCTTCTACAAGTGACAACAGTTGCTTCAGAGTCGGTCTTTAGTACAAGTGGCAGAATACTTAGTGAGCATAGGAGCCGCCTAACTCCTAATATGGTGGAAGTTTTGATGTGCTCCCAAGATTGACTTAGAAACAAACAAAAAGGTGAGCAAATAATGTACTTTGTTCAAATTTAGAATTTATTTATCTATTGCTAATCACTATCTCGTCATGTGTATAATGTTTTTGTTCTAGATGCTCATAAAGGAGATGCGCTTTTGGACTTGTTTAAGACATTCAAGAGGGGATGCCGGTTGGTACTCACCAACACATTTCCTTTGCCAATTGAGTATTTGACTGTACCTTCTACAAGGAAAATCCTAAACATTGACTATATTCATGTTTCCAACTAGGAATTTTGCCCTTTGAGACGTAGAGACATGGTCTCGTCGAGTTATGCTCGAGACTGAAGACTTATTGCGCTACGGTCTTCGTTATGCTACCGCTGGATTGCTCGAGTTTATTTTAGTTGAGCTTGCTACAGTGTCGAAACTTTATTGTGATGCTTAATTTGTGGCCTTATGTATGGTCAAATTGCCCTCATACTTTGTCGTGAGTTTGTGAACTTAAAATAAATGATTATGCATTGCTGTTTATGAGTGTGTTGCTGTTTTTATGTGTTGTTGTCTATGAGTGAGTGCTGCTATTTATGGGAATATGTTGATGTTTAGGAATTACGATGTGTTGCTGTCTACAAGTGCTGCTATTTATAAGAATGTGTTGATGCTTATGACGTGTTGTTGTTTATAAGCATATGATGTTGTTATGATGTGCTGCTGTTTATAAATTATGATGATGGGTTGTTGTTTATGACTATTTGTTGCTCAAGTTGACATGTGCACATGTGGGTACTTTTACTTGTGGATACCCATTTACCCTATCGGGTAAAGGGTATGAGAAAAAATTGTACCCGTTAACGGGTATGGGTACGAGTGATGGATAAGATCAAGGAGGATGGATAAGGGTACGGGGTAGCTCCACCCGTACCCAAACCCAGCGGGTGCCATCCCTAGGGTCTCGATCGAGCGCGCCACAGAGCTTACTTGTGGGGCGCAACACGAAAAAACTTCCGCACCAGATTATTGACGAGCCCGCTCAACCGGATGACGAATTCATCGACGGTCTCACTGGACTTGAACCGAATCTCCTTGAAATGTTGACGCAGACCCTGGGCCTCTGCCTCGCGCACCACAATCGAGCGCATGCACATCCTCTTGACCGCATCCCAATCCTCCTTCGCCATTCGCATGGTGGAGAGGACGAAGAGCATCCCCGCCCGGAGGACGGCCTCAAGGGCCACCCGATAATCGTGTCAATTGGAGATGTCGGTCTCCACCGCGTCAAGGACCACACGTCTGCAAGATGACCCTCATCAACAACAACTAGTCGCCGTAGTTGCTCCGCGTTAGCATCGGAAATGTGGCCGACATGAAGATCTCACGCCTCTACCCCATCGGCACGGCGAGCTCGCGCTCGCGGATGGTGCGGCTCCACCCACACCTCATGGGTGAGCGAGAGGGCGAGCCTCTCACTGTGACGGCGTCTTCGAGCTGGAGCCTCCACCCCCGTTCTTCTCCAACGCCTTCCTCCCGCCATGTCCGCAGGATCACAAGACATGCTCTGATGCCACTTGTCAACACAACTTCCAGCTTGCACACAATGAACACAGTGACACGAATAGTTTTTTTGCGCTGCCCACAATTCTTGCAGCTTTGCTCCGTTTGTCATTCTCCTTTTATTCTGTGACAAACAAAATGACCTTAACGGCCCAAATGAAATGCCCGCGATGATCCTCGGCGTTCGTGCCATCCCATGAACCAGATATTGCTGGTTGTGGACTAAGCCCAACCCACTTATCTAGCTAACCACTTCTGCCGCGCCATCCTATGACCGTGCTAACCGGAAATCAACGGGCAAAGCACCTAATCAACTAACAATGCACATGAGCAGTCGATACGCAGACTTCTGCCATGGCACGATTGTTGAACTGAAAAGAGCTGCCATGGCAGCCAAAAACGCTGTGACATAGCACCTAAACTAGACAACGCAAGTTTATTCAACACTACCTTTGTGCCGATGAGGGAGCTACACATTTCCTACACAAGAAGAAAAATCCTTGCACTGACCAGGTCCCAATCTCACAGAAATCAACTAAGCAGTATGGCTGTTCACATAACCCATGTTCGATCCAGTTCCAATGAAAAATCTCCCATGGAATTTCTGTGATCAACACACGTTCCAGGTATCTGTTACACGGAACAGCATGCATCAGAGTGCAAGCCTTTTTGACACAAGACCTATGAGCTAAACCCCCCTTTTCTTACCCTAGCAAAGAAAGACAAGAACATGTGCAAATACAAACTCTAGTCAAATACATTTCGGTCAAAAAAGTTCCCACATTAAGCATTTCATTTGGACACGACTACCCGCTCCCATTTGCATCAGGTGGTCAGTGTTGTCAAATTCACAAAGTTCTGATTCTCAAAAAAACAAAAAATCACTAAGTTCTCAGAGGACATTTCGTGACCGGGGTTTTGAGAAAATGCTGAGCTTTCTTGAGATATACCGAGCAGATTTGGATATCGGCTGTTTGCAGATCGACCCATTGGGTGAGCTCTCTACTCCACCATCGACAGCAGCATGAGCTACCCCTGAGCCCCCCAAGATTTGAAGCAGCTTGATTGAAGACGCTTTTGCCACCTCAGTTCCATAAACCGACAGATCAACAAGGGCAGGTATGACACCTTCCTTCATCACAAGAAAACGATCCGCCTCGGTGCTGCGGGAACATACCGTATGAAGGATAACAGATGCATGCTCCTGCTCACTGCGGCTTCCTGTGTCTAGATGATCTGAAATTGAACCGATATAATGCTCTGATCTGATGATAAGATCAGCAGCTTGTTTCACTTCGCATAAGTTCCGCATAATCTTCAGGCAATACTCGGTCAAGCTTACTTCACTGAGCAATGTAAACAGCTTGGCAATTATGCCTGGAGAAATAAGTAAGGATTTTACGTCATTACTGGATGACAGTTCGCAGATCATCTTTAGAGCGAGCTGCAAGCACTCATTGTCTCCAGTATCCAAAGCTACAATCACAGAAGGAGCCACAAGCGAGGCCATGAGAGGAGATTCCCGACAAATTGGATGATGCAGCAGTTCATGAAGTATCAGCAAAGCTTCCAGCTTTAACTCAGAATCAACAAGCGATACAATCAGCCGCACTGCATCTTCAGTGATAGATAAAATTCTAGTCCTGGATGAAAATAAAAAATTAAACATCACAAATATCCATTTTAAACTAAACTAAAACTACATAATAGGATCTTAGGCCTTTGTGCAAAAGCATAGGACAGAATTCCTAACTTTTGGAGCATGGAACTAGTTTAATTGAATAGAAAAACAGAGAGAGCGTCATCATCCAAAACAAGGTCTTATTACTACTTCTTACGGACTTGCGATTTACTGCTGAGAATCATTATTTTTCTTTTAGAAAGAAAATATCTTCTTTTCAACATCAACTAATATCTGCAAATGGAGAATATAAATGAAGATATATCCATACCTGCTATTGCAAAGAAACGTAAGGAAAAAATAAATTCCAGTTTTCTGAGCTTGTAATGTGCTTCTGAGATTGTCATTCTTAAGAAATTCAAGGAATGCTTCTAAAAAGCCATTGGAGATCATGGACTGCCAAACCTCATTTTCACTATTCAGGACAGCTTTTAAGTCTTTGACAGACTGCCTTTGCAGTTCCACCGGGAGCTCTGAGAGTTCTTGAAACAAATTCAGAAACATTTCCTTATCAAAGTTGCAGAAGGACAGATACAACTGGCAATTGACATTTGAATAAAACCGGGTAAAACTAGTTTTTGGCACATCTGTTTCCCTGACTGGGGATGATAAGTAACTAGCACCAGATAATGCAACTGATGAACCGCTATGCTCGACCATGTAATCAAAGTTTTTGTGAGCAATCAGGGGCGCCGAGATATCGTGCAAACTTGATAGGGAGTAATTATGAAATTGCTCGGGCAAATAAGTGCATTCAAGCTTCTGTTCTTTGCACCAGTTGTAAATAACAGCCTGCATACAAGTATTTGGAGTTATTGTAAAGTTTTCTAACTTTACTTGTGTCCTAGGACAAGTATCGTATCCTTTACTGAACCACCTCTCGATATTTTCTCTTTCATAAGTTTGTCCAGAGGCTATTATCACAGGATCATGCATCAGCTTCATAGATATTGGGCAGCAGAGCTCTGGAGGTGGTGTAGCAAGTCCTGACAAATTATTCTGATCATCATATCTCCCTGTCCCAGAGTTCACACCTGGAATGCATTTTCTGTGTGCACCGGTGTCACTAGAAATTACATTTGTGCATGTAGTTTCACTCGCAGTTCCATTCTTTGCACCTGTCTCAGGCTTGCTGTTCTTTCCGTACGTCCTGACTAGATACAGGAAAAAACTGAGGATACCTTCCTTTTTGGGATCGTTGCCATTGATCTTATCTAGTAATTTCTTGATTGCCCGTCTTTCGATTAACATAGCTTTCTGTGATGTCAGATTTAACTTTGAACATGCTAGAAGGAATGTATGCATTTCAAGTTCTTCAGTTGCATCCGAATGTCGAAGCATCTTCAAGACCGCTTTTCCAGCTTCTTCTTCTGCTGGATCAACAAGGAATTTCATATTTCGGAGATCATTATGTACATCAGCAACCTGTTACAAATAGTCAGGTGTAAATATACTATTTAAAACCTGATCAATATTGGCGTAGTACTAATAAATGCAGTTATTTGGTAAGCAGAAATTTCTGCAGACAACGCATGTCTATATGCAAATACTGGATACACCTCCAACTAAAAATATGTGAATGCTAGTTTCCCATACTCAGGCTACTTTGATTGACATTCCAACAAATGGTTCGCCAGAGAATTACTCTCTTTTACATCTAGCGAGCAAACCATGTACTTAGTAATGATCAGCGTAGAAAAAAGTTTGCCTGCTATTGAGTGATCTATAAAGTTCAGTAAACTAGCCTGATCAGCCAACATAGACGGGACCATATTCTGAATCAGGAACAAGCTCCGCCTCATCGAGTTTCTAATCCTTTCGCATCGCATTGCTGTTGCTTCTCCTGTAATAGCCTGAAATGTGTGTGCTCACTATCAAAAGACAATACATGAGTAGCAAAGGAAACCCATTTTATCAAGAAAAAGACTAAGAAAATATAAATAAAATGGTTTAACATCCTCAATGCAGAGTGACATACCAAATAAAGACTACTACACTCAATGCAGTTCTGGATTATAAGTTTCCCTTTGTCAACTATGCTGTATAGATTGCATAGTTCCTCTATGCCAGCTTTACATCCTGGTTGAGCCGCTTCTATTGATGGAAGAATAGAAGTAACTTTATCCAACATCATTTTCAACTCACTGCACATCAAGCTGTGAACCTGCAAAAACAGGGTCAGAGAAGAATAATCACAATAACTGAAAACTAGCCGAATATGAGAGTTTGCACAAGTACCTGGTGAAAATTATGTAACAAAATAAATAATACCATGAACATATGAAATGGTAGTTAAAACATACTGCTCTTTTAAGTTGTTACTACAACTGCCAACTAGTACGAAAGCTAAATGCAGTATGTGCTTGATGAAAGAAATTCCACTATTTCAGGCTTAATCATTTGAGACACTGTTATAGTTTTTGAAATCATATTTGGATACAGCATTTAGCATTGTACGGAATTTTTAAACATATATATTAACCATACACAATTATTCTTGCTTATGATGGGAAGTACTGGATTAATGCCTGAAAAAACTCATGACCATTTTACTGTACCGCAGATGTCCCCAGTTCTAAGAAAGAATGGCATGACAAATTACCAGCAATCAAATAATGATCGGACAAGAAAATATGAACTTCACCTTACAACAAAATACAAACAGTTATATGTAAGCAGAAATAGTTGTCAACAAATGGAAATGCTAGCAATCTAATATCTGCACCTTAGGATGTGAGCTATGCTCAGGTGTACCAAACATTCCATCATTATTATTCTCCATCTGTCAAAACCATGATAGATTGTCAAAATAGGGCAAGTTAAAATCAACAGTCAAATAAACCCCTACATGCAAACTTTCATTGTTTTGTTATTTGTAGCACAATCAGCATCTTCAGCAAAAGAAAGGAGATGATGACGGTACGTAAGCTGCAAGTGCATAATTTTTACTAGAAAAGGTAAACCATATACATTAAAAAAACACATTAGTATGTCAGGTATTTCCCTAAGGAATATGTCAGATAGACTATTATCAGGCATATTCCTGGTCACTGTCTGACACCATTGTCTTGCAGTTCGAAAGTAACCTAACATTAGCATGAGTGGCCAATCAAGTATGAAAACAATTAGTTATGCCGCAACTCGTGGAGTGCTCTTCATACATGGTGAAATGCCAATAGTTTGGCCAACCGACTGCTTTCTTTGGAAAACATTCTTTTATAGTTGGAACTAGATAAATCTAGTGAATTATACAACACTTTAAGCTTTCTAGCGCATGTAAGAAAAATTCTTGAATACATCCCTTTTTGACCATATCCGAAATAAAATAGGAAGAACTTAAGTTGTCTTATTAGATACTCCCTCCGTCCCAAAATAAGTATCTCAACTTTGTACTAACTTTAGTATAAAGTTGTACTAAGGTTAAGACACTTATTTTGGGACGGAGGGAGTAGAACATATGTACCTTCTATACATTTCAATGTTAATTTGACACTATTTACATATGTACCTTGTAAAACTTTGTGAATGGAGGGAGTAGTAGAGAACTCAGGTACAAAAAAGAAGAATCTGAAACTTGAGGAAGCAACTCACCTTTGTGACCTCCTCCCCTTGAAGAGAACCCGTATTAATTCGTTGGATCAGACGGAGACAAGCAACCAGCGTTGGAGAGAAATGCTAGCCAGAGGCCAGAGGCCAGAGATTAAGCAAAAACAATGAGCAACCTCAGGAGCTTCTCCTTTTCTGAACCTGTGGGCTAAAACCAAGAGAACTTCATTTTCCTGTAATTATAGGGCACCAATCAAACACGGGGAAACCATAAAACCCCACCAACCAAAATCAGGACAGGGAAAAGATGAAAGGAGAGTCCGCAAACCGAACCTCTCAAGGAACATGAACCTCCTTCTGAACCCCACCTCTTTTCTTCAGAGGAAACCCTCGCGCGCAGGAGGCTGGCCCCGTTCCGGGAAGGAGGCCAGAGGAACTGAACGGGGAGGGCGCAAGGGGGCGAGGTGAGATCACGATGGCCGCTGCCCTGCCGCGTAAGCCAGAGAAACCGTTGACGATCGAAGAATGGGGGTGGGATCGAGGAGGACTCCTCGTCACCTCGCACGTTTATCCTCTCGCTTTTCTCAGGCAGACGCAGGCGGCAGGCCTCGGTGCGCAACCGGGGAGACTGTGGAGTGCGCTGGGACGTGGACGCGACGGCGGTGCTCTGTTTCCCGGGCATGTTCAATGCGCTCTCGGCTGTCGTCCACTACGCACGGCGCGCACCGGGATTAGCAGGCGGTTTAAGCGGCGAGGTTTACGTGTGAGCTGGTGGTTTAGTTTGGCTAAGAGAAGATCTCGAGGTCGTCTGTCATGGGCGACAGGGTATTGCGCTTTCAGATTACTTTCAGACTTTACTCCTGGGTTGGCCGCTTCCATTTGTAGCCGCCTGTTCTACCACCACTACAGAGAGCCCACGGCGCCTTCTTCGTCGAGATGCCGGCTCATAGGTCCCGCGTCGCACACTCCCTCCCAGCTGTCGTATCATATCATTTTTTCTGCGGGAGCCGTATTACCACTTCATTAGATGTCTCTCTCACAGTTCACAAGTGTTAAATTATTGGCCCCCGCCAGGCATTGGTCGACTGGACTTGATCGTAAGATCAGAACGGTCTACCATTGTGCAGCAGAAAAATCTCTGTGCAACACCCTTTTTGTATATGTTTATTATAAAACATTATCGTCATTTTTTGGCCTAATCTGGGACATCAATAAGACAATGTTTGGTTGAAGGTGTAGATATGAGTGGGCTGGGACCATCCCAATGAGATGGTTCAATTTTGGTGTTTGGTTAAGATGAATGGGATGAGCCCATAAAGGTGATTTGGATGTGGTCCTCATATAAGATAATCACAAAGGCATAGATACATCAATGACATACATAAGATAATCATGTGAGGAGCCAGATAGGGATTGGACCGTTCGGTCCGACCAATTATATGGGGTGGGATCTTCACATCATATTCTCCTTTTTTGTTGTTGCAACCATTCAAGTGTTTTTTAACCGAACAATTGGGTTTTCATTTTTGGTATGGTCCCAATCCATCATGAGCGACCCCTTCAACCAAACGCGTCCTTAGTACCAAGTGTCAGTTCCTTTTTTTGCCTATTCCTTTGTTTTATAGAAAAGCCATATCAAACAAAGTCCAAACACGATGATATTTTACGGCGTTTTTTTTGGGACCAGAAGAGACCCTGAAAGCTTCGGGGAGAGACCAGAAGGTGCACGAGAGAGCGACAAGCTCACCAGGCATGCCCCGGGGGGAGGTGCGCCATCAGCACTTGTGGGGCCCACTAGGCTTCGTTTGACCTAATCTCTGACCTATAAATTCCTTAAAATCCAAAAACCCAGAGAGGGAGACCCAAAACAATTTTATCGTCATTGCAAGCCTATGTTCTTCAGTTATCCCATCTAGAGGCCTCCACCGGTACTCTGTCGGAGGAGGAAACCATTGGGGAGGCAATCTTCATCGACCTTGTTGCCTCCATGATGATGCGTGAGCAGTAGCCAGATGGCTTTCTCTCTCTCTCTCTCTCTCTCTCTCTCTCTCTTTTGTTCTTCAATACAATGATATCTTCAGAGATCTATTCAATGTAATTTTCGACGCGTGTGTTTGTTGTCGGATGAATTGTGGGTTTATGATCAGATTATCCACTGAAAGTATTTGAGTCTTTTCTGAGATTTATTTATGTGTGGTTTTATAGTCTTGTATTTCTCTTCGATCTATCTATCTGTTTTGGCCAATTAGAACGATTTATCTTCAGTGGGAGAGGTGTTTGGTAGTAGGTTCAATCTTGCGGTGTCCTTACTCTATGTCAGGAGGAGTAGCAAGGCACATTTTTATATTATTGCTACTAACAATAAAACGACGGGGTTCGAACATATTATTTGATCTTACTTTGTCTACATTATGTCATTATGCTTCAAGCACTACTCTATTTGCTACGAACTTAATACTTTGAGATGCATGCTAGATAGCGGTCTTGAGGTGGAGTAATAGTAGTAGGCGCTAGTAAGTTTAATGGTCTACTTGTCACGGATGTAATGCCTATATATTGATCATGCCATTAAGAATCATCATAACTATGGGCTATTTTGACAATTGCCCGACAATAATTTGTCTACTCACCGTTGTTATGCTTACGAGAGGGGCGCCTCTAGTGAACCTATGCCCCCCGGATCCATCTCCCATATTTACTAAAACCCTAAAAAATGCTCCTTGTTGTTATTTCCCTTTTATTTTATTTTATATATCTACCACTACCAGATTTAATCCTTACAATTGACGAGAACAAGGGGTTTGACAACCCTCTTGCCTTCATTGGGTGCAAGCATTTGCTTTGTGTGTGCAAGTACCGCTTATCTTGTTTGTGTGGTGTCTCCTACTGGTTCGATAAAACTTGGTTCTTAACTGATGGAAATATTATCTGCTACTATACTACATCACCCTTCCTCTTCGGGGAATCCCAATGCCTATCACAAGTAGTAGCCCCCGGGCCGGATGTCCTCCTGGTGGCCTTCTTTCTGAAGTTTTGGCCCTAGCTTCAGCCGGTTATCATGCTGATGTTCCACGAATTTTACATTGGGTCTCTAGACATGACATGAACTTTAATGTCATTACCCTGACCCCGAAAGTAGTAGGAGTGACGGATATGCAACACTTTAGGCCGACTACGGTGATTAATGTGCTTGAGCAAATTTTTGCGAAGGTCCATGTAGCGCGTTTGGCACCTATTGTGGATTGCCTTGCAAACTGTCTGACTCGATGGTTCTGATGAGCAAGTTCGAGCCACTTATGAGAATGGTTGTGTCTCGGGCCAGAACTATCATATGTGAAGTGGGTTGAAATTTGTATGCCCAAGGACCTGGGAGGGTTGGGCAGCCTAGCGTCCCGTCGCATGAACATGGCCCTCATGTTGCGGTGGGTTTGGCAGATCATTCGCGGGGAGAGGGGTTTGTGTCTATGGCTTCTTCAGGCTAAGTACTTGCGAGCGAGCCCCTCTTTGCTTGCTCGCACATGGAGGGATCCTAGTTCTGGAAGTCCATGTAGAGGATCAAACAGGAAATCCGCCTTAGGGTTTCCTTCTCTGTAGGCAATGGTGAAGGCTGAAGGAACTCTATTCTGGATTAAAACATGGGTTGGGGGAGTCCCGTTGTGTACGGGATTCCCTGGCTTGTTTGCCATCTGTGCAGATCAGATGGTGTTGGCCTCAACGACTGCGCAGAATGGCCACTGGAACATCTTTCTTGTTTTGAAGGTCATTTAGGTAGGTGGATATAGTAGATTAGGCTAATTTGCGAGCTGCCCTTCCACTGGTGCTCGCGGATAATTCGGACAACATATCGTGGAGTCTCTAACCTTCGGGTATGTTCTCCGTTGGCTCGACTTGCCATGCTCTATGTCATAGTCATACTATTCTTTGGACTACCTCCTCTTTGGAAAGCGCCTCTGCCCTTGAAGATCAAGATTTTTGTGTGGCAATAATCATTGAGGAACCGACTCCCATCTGGGATAGAGGGGCTTAAGAGACACGACCCTAGTAATGGCTTTTGTCCCCTCCGTGATGTCCTGGAAACAGGTACCAATATCCTTTTCTCTTGCACGGTGCAAGAGTTCCCTGTAGCTTCGTCCATGGGGCTCTAGGGTCGGACTAGGAGGCCTCGGACATAGCTAGGTTTCTTGGGACTAGAGCCAATCCGCCCGAGCAGTAATGTTGACTGTTCTGGTTGATTTT